CTTCATTACCTGTTGTGACTGTGTGACTAAGAGATGGTAAGCATTCAATCAAAGCTCACAGAACAAATTGCGTTTGGTCTAGCAGTGACTCACAGCCATGGCGAAGGATATCCGTTCTTAGGAAACCTAATGATGTACAGTCATTCCCAGCTCGGTTTAGCATCTGCTTTCAAGATGTTCTGATGCTTTTCTTGCTCCACCTGACTGGACTTTCACTTTTGCTCCTATCTGTGCACATCTGAGCAATCCAGAAGCTTCACTAATAGGAAGGCAGTGCTTCCTCCAGCTTTCCTTCTTGGGAAGCTGCATCCACCATGGTGATCTGACCAGGGCTGATGGGGACAGATGAGAGCCACGTTGCCACCCCAGCATCCTCTGTCAGAGCCACAGTCATCAGAACCATGGAACGACTGACTGAGCATGCTTTTGTCCTTCCATCTCCGGAAAAAATGACAGGAGCTCTGAAACCAGTTTGAAATCTGAGCATTAGGCTTGACTTTTTGTAAACTGGTATCTGTGGGTAGGTTAAAATGGCCTTGTTTCAATTCTGTACGTTCTAAGCTGGACCAAAATGAGGCAGTGGAAATTCATTATTATGCAGTGTTTCCCAAGCTGTAAGACACAGTCTGCCCAAAGTTTGCAAGATGATTCCATGATACACATGTGAACATATTTTAGTTAAGAACGTAATTGTTTAAATTCAAGTATTCTATTTTTTAAGTCAGACACTGAATTACCTTTTATTTAGAGCAAGTAAAACAAGGTGTTGATTTAAATTCATTGCTGTGCAAATAATAATATAGGTGCTTTTAGAGGATTAAAGTCAGAAAGCACTAAATTCCATTCCTTAAGCTCATGCCAACCAGGAAATTAGAGTAGCAAAAAAAAAAAAAAGATAGAGCTGGAAGAATCCTTAGAGACCATCTAATTCAATTCACTACTTTATTTACTTACTTACTTCGCAAGTATTTGTTGCAAACTTCCTATGTATAAGATTCTAGGCAGAAATACAGTGAATCAGACAGTCCAATGGGGGATACAGATGTTATACCCAGTAAAGAAATTATTATGTGGGTTCTGTGAAGACATAATAGCATATAAGAAACCATTGGGCTGGGTTTATGGTTGAGTGGTAGAGAGCACTCACCTAACATGTATGAGGCACTGGGTTCAAACCTCAGCACCACATGAAAATAAAAAATAAATAAAACAAAGCTATAAAAATAATTATAGTCTTAATAAAAAAAGAAACCATTAACATCAGGAGGATGTTTGCATGAAATCTCAAAGGATCAGGAGAAATTAACCATTCAAAGGGCTTGGGATGATAGTAGAAGCAGTTGAGGGCAAGGGAGGAGAGTATGTTATCTGAGAGCGCCAGGGTAGCTAGAGTACACGAGACCTCAGTCTCTCAGTGGGAAAATGTCTGAATGAAGTGCCTGAAGTAGCTAATTTCAATCAGGACCCACCCAGAAACAGAGGCCCAGGAGGCAGTGTGACCCGGCCACAAATCCCAAGATGACCATACACCCCAAGAGCAGTCAGACCCCAGCTTCAATCATTCTCTTATGGGTTTGTACATTGTATCAATGCTGGTATAGAGAGCCCTGTGTTCAGGTTCTATTCAGGTGCAAGGGACCCAAGAGAGACGAGAACAAAGCAGACCAAAGCCCTGCCACACACAGCCAATACTCTAAGATGGTCCAGACAGTCTATAAACAGACATGCTTGCCAGCAGGATAGAAGTAGTTTAGAGAAAAGTGAAGCAGTTTTGTGTGGGTGTCCCCCCAATAAGTCAGGGCTGGCCACATCCCTTGACCTCACTGAGGGGTCTTTTCAGCACCCAGCACTGCTTGTTGATACTCAGACTCCTTCTGCTTTACCCTGTACTATAGATTTGTTTAACTAATTCTAATAAATGCTGGCAGACAAAACATTTTAACAGGACACTTAGTCTCATAGGAATGTTCCAGGAAGAATCAACAGTAGGGCATCTCCTTCTATAAATGCTAAGTGGATTTTGAGTTGATATAGCATGGGCATTTGGGGGAGTGCAACCATTTCCAAAGTGTCATCGTGTCTGGTGAAATCCCAGAATGCCACCTGCACACCAGTGGGCTTCACCCACAATGACCCCAGGAAGACACGTCTCCTCCCTGTGCACAAGGATCTCAGCTTCTCCACAGCTGCCTCTTCAATATACCAGTCCTTACCTCAAAACACAGACATTATGCTTTTCCCCTCTAGAATTTGAAAATTACTCATTTGGGAACAGGTACCAACACATGGGCATTGGTTGTTTCCCCCAGTGATGGCTTTTATACTCCTATATTGCACCTGAGCACAGTCACCTTTTCATCCTTGACTCTGTGGGTTCTTGTGGTATCAGAAGAATAAGATAAAAGCACAGTGGCACAGAAGCAAGATTTTATTCTTACGCTTGAGCATAAGGGAGGTAGCGTATGGGAGCCAGAAATCCCAAGCTGACTCTAACAAAGGACAAAGGTGTGCAGCCTTTATGGCTTCTTCAGGGGAGGCAGGGACCTAGACTCTTGATGTCAGCACATACATATGGCTCCTGTGCTTCTTCTTCGGCATGCCTCTTCATGCAGCACATATCTCATTTCCATATGAAGTGTCCACCTCAGGGTACGATTTTTACTAAGAAAGTAAAAGTAACTGGAGAATACTGGAGCTGTGGTTACTGGGACTGAACCAAGGCTTGCACTCATACATATGAGGCAAGAGATCTATGCTCAGCTACATCCCCGTCCCTTTTTCCATTTAATTTTGAGACAGGGTCTCACTAAGTTGCCCAGTCTGGCCTCAAACTTGTGATCCTCCTTCCTCCACCTTCCAGGTAGCTGGGATTACAAGTGTGCACCACCACGCCCAGGCAACTGTAGATTAGTTTACTGACAATTCTATGCATGTGTTTGCCCCATACCATCTGGAGTTGTTTCTTATCATCAAGGTGAGTCTGATATTTCTTTTTTCAGAGCAGAGAAAGCTGTTGTCCTGTCTCTTTTTAGTAAACTTGTCTGCCTCTAGCTTCTTGGTATTTCTACTGACCACAGGGTCTCAGAAGGCTGAACTGGCTTCTCAACCTCCGATCTCCTGGTGTGTTATCTTAACTTTATAGACTTGAAGACTGGTCCACTTTTTAACTTCTAATTTTCTGGTATATATGTTAACTGTATAAGACCGAGTGCTAACTTGACTGTCTTGTTTCCCCCTGAGAGATTTTACTCACTTAATCCTAAGGGATGCTATTTTCCATGGGAATCCCAGATAATGTCATTTTGACTGTTCTTGGCAAACAAAACAATTTGGGAAACAATCAAACTAAAATATTGACTTTAGTTGCCTAAAAATATTAGGGAGGTAGGTGAAATGTTATCCTTAAAGACCTAAAGTCCATTTCTTTGCTGACTGTCAGAAGAATGTTTCCCAGCCTCACTGAAGTCTAGAGACCCTAAGTAATGGTCAGATTAAAAATGACTTGTCAGCAAGACTGGACACTGGGGACCTATGGAAGTCCAGCACAGTGAGACTCAGCCATGAGGGAGCTATTCCCATAATGTACTAAAAGTGGGGTAAGGAGAGGCTGTGAGTACACAGTCTCCTCTCTGATACAAGGCAAAACCAGGGACCAAGTTTCTGAGTCCCCAGATTCCAGCTCTGTCAAATGTTCCTGAGGAAAGAAGGCTGTCCCACTGCTGATGGCCTCAGAGCCTACTCAGGAAGCCTTGCATTGAATGTTAAATGAAGATAGTCCTCCAAGCGCTCCCCCAGATCCCCAACCCATCACCACATCTTCCCTATCCTAAGGTCTTGTCTAGTAAAGAGGTCTGCATAGAGCAAGATAAGGGATCACAGTTGATGGGGAAAGCAGAAAGAGGTGACTTTGAAATACAAGATCAATCAAGAGAGGATGGTACTTAGTGAACAGCCTAAGCACCATATGATTGAAAAGAACTGGATGGTAGGAAAATAAATGAAGTTTTCCAAGTACATCATGGGTGAAGATCTTAGACACCAAATCAGTATTGTCTGCACACAGGAGAATGTTATGAATGTCCTGAGAGTGACCTAGCTGGCTGTCAGGCCATGAGGTCAGAAACAGCCCATGTCTTCTACTGCCATGTGCCAATAACAGTGAAGCAGGGTCCCTTTTATAAGAAACAGTGGCCATGCCATATTACTCAGTTAACAGAAAATCTAACTGTGAAAATTAGGTTTTTAGCCCTTGCAAAAATTGATTGTGTGACATCTGAGCTACATTTTTACTTTGACTTGGCCTCTGGCGACTTTCCAAATTTTATGACACCCGGAAGGAGCATTATCGAGCTTCAGCATCATTTCAACTTGACTGCTTGTGGTCTTTCCAGCTTGGGTTATCTGTCAAAGATGTTCCTAGTAAATCATTCCGAATAGGTAGTTGACCAGTATGTTCTATTTGATCTGATCTTATCATTATCTATTGCAACCAATGAAATTAAAGTATGCTATCATGGAAAGGATATCCAGGAGAAAGAAACACCATTCAATTAAAATCAAAACCAGTTAAGAGCTAAGTTCACACTGGGCATAATTAATAACTATCAGACCATTAAGTAGACAATACCATGTATATAGCATCTATTTATGTCTCCACAGCATTATATCATATCCCAGTAATTTGTCATTTTTCTTCCACAAATAATATGTGAGTTAACTCAGTTTGTACATCTTTAAATTAAATTTTTACTATACACTTGTAAATAACAAAATAGAGCCAAGATATTCTTTAAAAACATAGAAAATGTACAAGTTATTGACAATTTACTTATTTCCAAGACTTTATTACTTTAAATCTCTCTCATCTATTCTGAATTACCTAATTTATTATCAGAAATGTGTACAAAATTTTTAAAGAAGAATGCTGTTATAAATTTATTTCTAATTATTATCATTGTATTTCAAAATAACTATCAAATCAATGTGTTTGGGCCCTTGATTTACTGAATGCTTTCTAACAGTTCTTTAATCCAGGACAGAAGAATATCCAGTTCACTGATGGCTTTATAGATTCCTTTGTTTCCAATCTGCAGATAAAGTAAAAAATATAAAAGAAGAAGTCTTTCATAGTGAAGAAAACAAATCATTCAAAAACAAGAATTTGAAATATTTACCCCATAAAACGTTCTTTTCATTCTGGTAATGGATGTCACCTCTCTAGCTGGTAAAGCACAGGATATCTAAGAAATCAACAATAAGTACAGATAAAATTGTTGAAGATGCACTTATTTTTTTAATTCTTTTCAGTTGTAGTTGTACACAATACCTTTATTTTATTTATTTATTTTTATGTGGCGCTGAGAATCAAACCCAGTGCCTCGCACATGCTAGGCAAGCTCTCTACCACTGAGCCATAACCCCAGCCCCTGAAGATGCACTTATAATGCTCTTCCATCCATTCAACAAATGTTTATTGAGCAAGTATTATGTTCTGGTCACTGGATATGGTTCCTGTTCTCACAGAACTTACAGTTTCAGAGGGAATAAGATGATAAATAAGAGTACAAAAATGAAAATTTGCAAATTACAATTAAAGCTATGTTTGCAATACACAGTGCTCTGTGATAGAGATTTATAGTAATAACCAACTTTCAATTGGGTGGTTACAGAGGGCTCCTTTGAAATAGAACATTTAAAATAACATCTGAAAAAATGAGAAGGAGCCAGTTTGGGCTGTCTGAGAAAGCAAGGAGAGGAGAGAGGAAGTTGGAGAAGAAACAGAGGCAGAGTGACTTAGACAGAGGGAAAGATGTTGCCAAGGCCTGAGCAGGGAAGAGATCAGTGCCTTCTAGACACTGGAAAAATGAAAGCATGGCTGGAGCAGTTGAGAAAGAGAGCTGTTGGAAGTATGGAAGATAGGAGAAGGACAAGAAATGTTTACTTTTTGAAAACTCACCCCAGCTGTCACATACAATTTACAGTACAATGTTCAGTGTGGATTATCAGGAGAAAACTCCCAAGAATTTCTTATTAATTGCTCCAGGAGTGAGCTGATATTTTGAGAAGCTGGCTGGTAGCCTGGTCAGGAGAAGATGCCAGTCTCCCTTTGTGCAGTTATGCTTTAAAACCCTATCTGAGTGCAGAGATCACTGAGGAATAAAATAGGAAAACAATTAACATCTTCTTCTATTCTCTCACAAATTTTTATAGGGTTAAAGAAAAGGGAAGAGAAGGAAAAGTTGGAAACGTCTAATTTATTCACTTAGTTTTTATTCATAAAACTTTTGCATTCGAATTGACCAAGGAGACTTTATAGATTGGTTATTCACAATTTGCAAAAGTGAAACTACAGTTCAGGTAGTTTAGTCATTTACTTAAAGTCTCACAAGAGGCTGTATCCTAGTGACAAAATAGAATAGAGGCACATCAAGAAAGATAACAGTTAAAATTCATGAAATGGAAGTGGATGAAGGATAATACATGGCAAAAGTCAGCCAACAGGTGTTTTTATTCTACAGATCTGGTAGGATAGCTAGACTTCACCACCATAACTAAGGAGGACTTATCTGAAAGGAGGGCTTTCTAAAAGAATGCTCTCATTTTTAAAAAATTTTTCAGTATACTCTTGCAGTTGCTAAAATTGGGCTACATGACAAAAGGGTTAGTAGTATCATTATAAAAACCACTGAATGACCAAACATGGCTGAAAATTCAACTGAAATAGACATGATTTAAACTAGAGGCAAATTATTTGTAGTAACAGAATAACTAGAGAACTAATCAAAGAAAAGTGTGAGGAAAGTCATGCAATAAAAAAACACTGCATGCTTATCATAGACTCCAGCTTATCATTCACCATTAAATCAACACATGTTTATTGCAAACTTGGTATATACTTGGCATACAATTGTGCCTCTACCATATAGTGCTGCTATATTTCATTCATTTAGAAAAGTACCTTACAGAGAGGGATAAATTATGGACTTGAGGTACCCAGTATATACTGGCTGCCTGAGATTGAAAGAAGTTGATAAAGGTATGGCTGCATAATGAGTGGTGCTGGTGATTGAACAATTTCATCATTACAATTGGGTGCTTTGATGCTGAGCTATACCCCCATGCAGGGAATGTTGTAAAGAGAAAACTACTCACTGAAAAGACACTCACACAGCAGAGGAAGTCAAATCCACCACAATACATGTGCAAGCAACAACAGAAACACAGGAAACATGAGGACATAAGCAAACAAGACATCTCCAAAAGTTCATAGCTCCCAAGTAACCAAATTCAGATATTGAAGTAGATGAAATGTAATACAATGAATTATTTTTTAAAAATTTATTATTAAAATGATTAGTGAATAAAAAATAAGCAATGAACTAAGGGAGAAAGTACAGGTTATAAAAGAATATATCAATAAAAAAGATTCTGAAAAATAACTAAACAATAATCATGGTGATGAAAAATTTAATAAATCAAATGAACATTTTAGTAAAAACCTAACCAACAGACTAGATGAAGCAAAAGAAAGAAAATCGGGGCTTGAAGACAAGCTTGTTGTTTTAGAACACTCAGACAGTAATAAAGAAAAAATAAGAAACTATGAGCAGAGTATTCAAGAGCTCTGGGACAACATTAAAAGACCAAAGGACCCATAGATCTTGAAGAAGGACCAGAAATACAGACTAATGGTATAGAAAACTTATTCAGTGGATGAGATTAACATTCAGGTATTCAAAGCACTTAGAACCCCAAATAAACAGGACCAAAAAGTCAAAAATTCAGAACAAGGAAAGAATCTTAAAAGTTGTAAGAGAGAGGAAACAAGTAAATTACAAAGGAAAACCCATCAGAATAACAGAAGATTTTTTAGCAGAAACTCTAAAGGCCAGGAGAGCATGCAATTATGTATTTCAAGACCTAAAAGAAAACAACTACCAACCTAGACTACTATATTCAGCAAAGCTATTCTTCAAAATCATTCTTCAAAAAGCTATTCTTCAAAAATTTAAATAAAAACTTCTGAGATAAGGAATTCATGACTACTAAGCCAGAATTTTGGAAGATGATTAAAGTAATCCTTTATTCAAAAAGAAAGACAAAAAAATAGAGGCACAGAAAGAATAAATCACACCAGGAAATATATCTTACAGGCAAAGACATTCACAAACTGAAAGTCAAAGAATGGGAAATGATGTTCCATGCAAAAGCAATTCAGAAGCAAGAAGGACTAGCTACTCTGCTATCAGACAAAGCAGACTTCAAAGTAAAATGCATCATCGGGGCTGGGGATGTGGCTCAAGCAGTAGCACGCTTGCTTGGCATGCATATGGCCCGGGTTCGATCCTCAGCACCACATACCAACAAAGATGTTGTGTCCACCGAAAACTAAAATAAATATTTTTTAAAAAAAAGAAAAATGCATCAGAAGAGGCAAAGAAGGAAATTATGTGTTGGTCAAGGAAATAAGATGATATAACAAATGTAAATATTGGTGCTCGAAACATTGGTGCACCCAATTTCATAAAACATTGATCAATATAGAGGGACAGATGGCCCATCACAATAATAATAGGAGATTTTAAGAACAACACTCTCATTGATAGGTCATCCAGGCCGAACAACAAAGAACAGATTTAAGCTATATTATAAATCAAGGGGACTTAACAGACATTAGCAGAATATTTCTTCCAACAACAGCTGAATGTACTTTCTTTTCAGTCACTCATAGAATTTTTTCCAAAATTGATTCTTCATTAGGCCATAAAGCAAATCTTATCCAATACAAAATATTGAAATAATATCGTGCATCTTTTCAGATCATAATGAAATGAAATTTAAGTTAATAGCAAGAAAAACTAAAAACTCCATGATATATTAATTCAAAAAGATACTTTTCAATGATGGCTGGGTCATTGAAGAAATATTGAGAATGTTAAAATATTCCTAGAATCGAACAAAAATGGAAATACAACATTCCAGAATCTGTGGAATGCAGTGAAAGCGATTATTAGAAGAAGGCTTATGAAGCTATGAGTACCCATCCTAAAAAATCAGAAAAATCTCAAATAATAACCTAATTATATATCACAAATTTTTAGACAATGAAAAATAAACCAATCCCAAAAGCAATAAAAGGAAAGAAGTGTAATAAATATCAGACTGAAATTAAGGAACTAGATAATAAACAAAAAACTACAAATAATCAATGAAACAAAGGATTGGTTCTTTGAAGAGACAAACAAGATTGATAAACTGTYAGCCAAATTAATTTAAAGAATGAGAGAAAAGACCCAAATTAACAAAATTAGAGACAACAAACGGGATATTACAACAGACATCATTGAAATCCACATGATCATTAGGGACTATTTTCAAAACCTACAATCCAATAAATTGGAGAATTTCTAGACATCTACAACATATCTAAATTGAACCTAGGGAATACAGAAAACAAACAAACTAGTAACAAGCAATTAGATTGAAATAGTAATTTAAAAAAAAAAAACTCCCAATGAAGAAAAGCAGGACCAGATGGATTCACAGCTAAATTTTACAAGATTTTTTGAAGAATTAATACCAATGCTCCTTAAATTACTCCATGAAATAGAAAGGAAGGGAAAGTGTCCAAACTCATTCTATGAAGCCAGTATCACCCTAATACCAAAACTGGATAAGAAGAAATCAAGGAAAGAAAATTACATACCAATGCCCTTGATGAATATATATATTTAAAAAAAATCCTTAATAAAATACCTGTGAGCTGGGCATGGTGGTGCACCTGTAATCCCAGCAACTCAGGAGGCTGAGGCAGGAGGATCACGAGTTCAAAGCCAGCCTCAGCAATTTATTGAGGCCCTAAGCAGCTTAGAAAACCATGTCTCAAAATAAAAACTACAAAAAAGGGTCTGAGGAATGTGGCTCAGTGGTTAGGCAGCCCTGGGTTAAATCCCCAGTACAAAAAATAAAAATAAAAATTTGTAAACCAAATTTAGCAACACATTAAAAAGATTATAATCATGATCATGCTGGTTTCATCCCAGGAATCCAATAATGACTCAAAATTCACAAATCAATAATTTGATATGTAATGTAAATAAAATCAAGGACAGAAATCACATGATCATCGCAATAGATGCAGAAAAAGTCTTTGACAAAATTTATTACCCCTTCATGATAAAAATCCTAAAGAGAATAGTTAGAAGGAACTTACTTCATCATAATAAAGTCTGTATATGAC